TTTTTCAGCACTCCTTGGATATTTGTGAACATGAATACTATTGCAACTGAACTGTAAAAACATGTATAGCAATTCAACTAGCCTACCTTTTAGACATTTGATAGATTTTTCAGCACTCCTTGGATATTTGTGAATATGAATACTATTGCAACTGAACTGTAAAAACATGTATAGCAATTCAACTAGCCTACCTTTTAGACATTTGATAGATTTTTCAGCACTCCTTGGATATTTGTGAACATGAATACTATTGCAACTGAACTGTAAAAACGTGCATAGCTTTTTTAAACACATCCATTAATCCAGCTTTATTTTAATTCAATTTTTTAAAATTTGCAATAAACCATAGATCATTTTACACTTACCAATGATATTCCCCGACAGCTCTGATAAGAACATTTTTTCAACATATGTACCAATCTAGAAGTGAGTACACACAAACAAATTCAGTAAGATATACACAAAACACACTCAGTTATAAGAGATGCAAGAAATCCAAGCAATAGACTTATTGAGGACAGACAAACTGGATAACTTTTGCTTAGACTTGCTGTTCAGTTGAAAACTAGAGATCAGGGTGGATTGTTCATAATGCAGTAAGTTTTATAGGGTTTTATCACAGCAAAGAAACTTGTAAAGTCAGGAGTTGAGATCTTGAGCCGAGCAACAAACCCCTTTGTATTCCAGTTATTGACAGGCCAATGAATGGTAAATGCAGAGGACACTGCCCAGCACTGAATGTTTCAACAGCTACGTAACTAAATAAATGAAGAAACAAATCATAAGCTATTTTATTTCAAAAGTACCACTAAAAAGAAAATAGAATATAGTCACGTACTGAAGCGAGATGGGGGGGGGTCATTGTATCAAATAATACATCAGACGAAGAATGGGTAGACAAACATCAATCTACATGTGGGAAAGATGTACATGGCTACCTTGGCTAAGATCAACAACTTATATGTGGAGTGGGTAATCCTAGCAATTTGAATAGCACACAGTGAAGCCAAAATGACACCCTTTCTTTATTACCTGTATGTCATTGCCTCTTCCAGTTGATCCTAGATCTTCAACACCAGCTATTTCATTACCAAATCTGAAATAAAATGCATGGCAAAAATGGTAATGCATATATCTAAAAATTAATACCATGGGTTAACAAGGGTTACTTAGCAAAGGGCTGAGGGGAAATATACTTTATGGCAGGTTGTCTATTTTAGTCACTTTTTAGTTTTAGTCAGCGTTGGAAACTTGCATATCAAAATTATCATCCTCAACATAACCCAAGAGTTACGTGGATAAAAACAACAAATTGACAAATCAAAGTGTTGATGACTGCACCCTGGGGACAGTGGTTGTTTTAGGCATGCTGGCTCTCAGGATTGTAAGTGCCAACGTCAAAACAAACACAGCTAAGAATCTTCAAATTGATAGGCAGATATCGGTTTTCATTATCAGGAGTACAATTCAGGATCAATAAAGTATTGAAGATTGTGTCCTAGTGATGCACTAAGTAGCAGGTAAAATATTCAGAGAGTCTGGACTAAATCACCATGTACTGAATGAACGAGTGATCAATTTACATATAATGCATCAATATACCATAATTTTCCAGTTTCCAAGCTATGCAAGAAAACTTCTTGTATCATAGTATCATGTTCAAGGTAAATTCTGTGTTTATGTCAAGTAAGATGAATATTGAGGCAGCTTTGAATATCAATCAACAGAATTGGTCAATGTATTATAGGCAATGTCCCCACAATGCTAACTCAGGTGTGAGGGTGATTGCATCCTAAAAGTATAAATTGGAGGAACAATTATACAAACTTGCTCAATATTTCTGAGACTTGCTGCTATAAAGGAATATGAACTAACACTACTGTAGCATCAAACCTTACCTTACACATCTTGTACAATGAATACATCTTGTCATTATAGTTTGAACAAGTGGTCCTATGTCTTTATCTTCAACAGCTCTCTTACCAGAAAACTTATTATCAACAAATCTACTACGATCACTGCCAAAGGCCATTGATTGGTCCTGGTGAGAAAACATGACAAAATACAGTTGTATTACGGATACGATTAGTGGACAACTACTGAAATTAAAATTTGCCACAGAAAGTAAAGCACAAGTCTGTGTAACCATCATAATGACAAGTTAATGTGATATTCTGATGATGATCACTTATTATCTACAACACATCTCACCTGTAAGTCACATTCGCCACCCTGGTCACAAATTGGACAGTCTAATGGATGATTGACAAGTAAAAACTCCATGATTCCTTCCCTGGCTTTTCTTGTCATCTCCGAATCTGTTTTAATCCTCCATCCATTCATTACAGGCATAGCACAGGCTGCTTGGGGCTGTATACAAATATATTGTTGGTTTCAATACTGATATCTCATACAATGCTTTGTGACAGCTATTGCTGACATATGTACATGTATGTAAATGAGAATATTCAAATTGTCATTAATGCATTTCATGTCCTAAAGGCAATATAGATCCATATCTCAGATTGTCAGATATTCACAGGTAAATTACACAAGTGATCTTAGTATTTTGACGAATCAAAAAGCAACAATTAAAAATACCAAGACTGAGTAGAAATGAGCAATATCATGGTATTGTCATGTAATAACCTGCATGTGCTATGGGACAAATACAGACTACCCAGTAACAGTATTTTATTTTTTCCTTTGCAACTAGACGCATACACTCACTGAAAGCATACTGATAATGACAGACTGCAGCATTTTCTGTTTGATTAATAGTACACTGTGGAACACCAGTTAAAACATATCAGGTACATAATATATACATTGTTGATCAGCTGTCACCACTGTCAACACTCAAGGTGTCAATAACTCCAGTTTAGCAAGTAATTTATTGTAATTTATTATTTCGATTCATAAGAAAAATCTTGAAAACAATTTACACAAGCAATTATTACCTACCTTTGGTGATTTCTCCACCTCAACCAAGCACATCCTACAGTTTCCAGCAACAGAGAGGCGTTCATGGTAACAGAAACGAGGAATTTCCACTCCCACCATGGCACATGCCTACAAAAATAATGTGAAAGCATACAACATTACGGTATTCCATGACAATGCTATTTGCATTAATTTATTTCCTATATATCGACAGGCAGCTAATACAGTGATGTACATAAATGCCCTGGTAAAACAAACAACTCTTGCAATTGTACTTGTATTCATCATCAGTTCACTCAACTCCTTGTTCCTTCATATGCCATTTCTCTTTGTTCATTCCTGTCTATTCAATCCCTATACCATAATTAGACAATTTATAAACCAATCACTGTACCTGTAAAATAGTTGTTCCTGGGTCAACTAGCACCCTCTTATCATCAATAAAAACTTCTAATTTTTGCGATGCCGGAGCAGCAGATGAGTTCATGCGCTGACATGTTGTGGCAGCAGCAAGCCTGGAGGATGTACTCCACAGTCTGGCTAACGGTGAACACGCCCTCAACATTGTGACCACCTGGTGACAACAAATGAGGAAAAGTTACAGATTGTTCACAAATATAAGGAGATATTCTTGAATTATTTGAAAATTTAAATAATATGTGTACTGTAATGCATACAGTGACTATGTATCAGCAAGATGTCTGCCTTGCTAATAGCCAAAAACTACTGAACAGTTCTACTGTTTCAATTGTGGTTGAGTTGAGCACCTTGGAGTGTCATCAAGTCACTGATGATAGACTAAATAACAGTGATGCCGAAATGATCATGAAAACTGCTCCCTATCAGATTCCTTTGGAATATTGCATTATACCTTGGTACATACTTGCAGTTTTAATTCTAACAGTTGGTTTACCTGAAACAGTCACCTGGGTGCTACATGCAAGTGGTCAAAACAGTGGATTCAGGGGTTGCATTAGTGTTCCATAATGTGGAGTCCCTGGAACCATTCCATAATGTGGGTCCCTTAAAAATATGTGGAGTCCCAGTTGCGACCGCACTTAATTTTTTCCAGAATAGTTTTTGCACGCATTATTACACAATAAACATAAGCAGGCATTAATCACATTTATACTGTACTTTATTTACATGTTCATTCCACCCTTTACATGTCAACAATCTGCATTATTATATGGTTTTCTTCTATTTTTGCTTTTATTAAAATATAATGCTGTTTGTACAAAATTTAAATCATTACTGGGTTTACCCTCAAGTGAAATTTTCATAAGCCTAGATAAATGAGCTGGTTTCAGATAGCTTTGTCTCCAGAAAACAATACACCTAAAATTTCGTACATATATGATCTTACGCATGTCTTTAGAATATCGTCTGGGAGGTGTGAAATACATATCGCTTAGCATAGCATCGCCATTTAGTTTCATCCTATTAGCAACCTGCATAAATTAGCTGGTCAAAATGCATTCTGCTTGTCTCAGGATTGACTGTCGGAGGGGAGCTCATACTTTCCATTATGCAATGTAGATGCTAATAGATGTTTTTGAAGACAATGGCACATTTACATGCTCTATGAACTTTGTATGCAGGCCAAATGCACACAATGCCTTTATACTTATCATAATACGATGGGCATGTGTGCTCATCAGTTCAAAAATTCATGCGTCCCACGCAAAAACTATGCTTCCCAGAAGCAGAATTCCGCATTAATGCAAACCTTCAGTGGATGAGAAAATGTCTGAATAATATGAAACATTGACTATATTTAAATTACATCCGTTGACTAGCTCTGTTCTGAAGCATGTTTAATTTGTAAATGATGTTTCTCTGTAAAAATCTGTTTTCATTTAGATTTTGCAAAAAGAACCTGCAAGAAATACAACTAAAATAGAAGCCTCAAAATAGCGAATATTTACAACATAGGAGCCTTCTACACTTGAATACAATAAATTACTATGTTAGTTATCACAAGTATAGTGGTACTTTCGATATGCAAATTTCCACTAGTTGAATGCAAAGCCAACAATGTTCAATGAATATTGCAATGCTACAAGGGAAATTGATGGGAAGATTACATGCTATTGGTAGCTCAACAGCAGCTTGGACTAGTTGATTTTAGACAGCGTCTGATTAAAAAAAAAAATTCTGATGCTGGCACATTTTGACAGATCGCAGTGAATTCTGAAAAAAATTCAAAATGGCTGACATGCCAGGGTCTGATCTCTCTCAACTTTTACCATTTGCGAAGAGGTTTGCATTTCGGCATTAAGGTCTGGCCTGTATACCAACTCTGCCGTGTACATGTATACAGACAAAGCACAGGACCTATCCGGACCAAAATGATAAGACAGCAAGGGTAAGAGTGTCACTGCATTTGCAAGTCAAATTCAGTTGTAGAGTGCATATTTAACTATAATATGAAATAATTCACCATATTACCATAGACATGTGTATAAACACGGTCCCTTTATAAGTCAACAGAGAAAATGGTTTAATAGTAAACAAACGTATCGGGACACTGACTGCAGACACGACCTCTGGTTGAGGTCACAGCCATTGTGCAAAACAGTTTATCACGTTGCATTAATACCTTTCGTTAGGCCTTTCAAAACGTGGATATCAAGCGTAATTAAACTGTACAGTCTAAATATGAATACATACAGTGTCAAAATAATTAACTATACAACAGCGATCGCCAAAAAACATGAATCCTATCTGGATACTGGAATCGAATAATGGAGGCCAAACTTTTGTCACGAGAAAACCAACGTCGTCTCTCGTTAGAAAGGTAACACACATTCCGTATATTGAAAGTAGGATTTGGTAAAGTGGTTCAGCTAGTTTCATATGGCTACGAGTAATGCATATCCGAAAATAAAGACTCTTTAAATTAAATGTTATGCTTACCTGCAAAGCTAGGTGCCGATTATTACTCTCAAAATGGCGACCAACGTGCAAGGAATTGTGGGTCCTCCATAAAAACCGTTTCCCGGTTTGGTCGAGTGATGGCGCAATTCCAAAACATCAGCTGGAGTTCACGAACTGAGATGTTGAGTGATCATGGCAAAGAAACAGAAAGTCTCAGATTGTGGAGTTGATAATTTTAATTGGAAACCTACGTTTGTGTTATCTGATGACGACACGCAGCCTGTAGAACTGGTAAATATTCTTGCTGCATCGATAACAAATCGGCAGGATACATCCCAGATTCTAAAATCTCTCTCAGAATTGTTTCCATTGAATGGACTCCATCACTTGAAACGGGTAAAATCTTGCAAAGGTGAAACAAAAAATGACGTAGCGTTACAAATTATTATATGCTTAGCCAGTGATCAACACAGCCAGTCAAAACATGTAAGCTTGAAACAGATCTTTGGCGATAAGCCTTTTGCGGGTAAAGGTTTGGGACCACCATTTTTAACCAAAGCTGCCAAGTTTCCACCCAGGACAAGACAGCAGTTTAAAGATGCCTCCATATACTGGCCAACTTCTTTCCATGAAGATAAACACCTGACCCGTGCCATCGCAGGACAACTATTTACTGTGTCAGAAAAACATAAAATTCAGTGTTACATGGAGAAAGCTGTGGCTGTTGCCAAGACTGGCAAAGAAAGAGGGCAAGCACCGATTGGTGCTGTGATAGTCGACCCGATCAATGAAGAAGTAATTGCAGTGTGTCATGACTTAAGAAATGTCGGGAGACATCCATTCTTCCATGCTGCGATGATATGTATTGATCTTGTAGCAGCAAGTCAGGGTGGTGGTACTTATAAATACAATGAACCAGGCTTCTACAATAAAAACAGCCAATATAACTCAGCAAACCAGGAATGCAAGGAAAGCAGCACAAGTGATGTAAACAGCATTTCAGGGAACCACAAGGATCCATGTGCATGTAACACAAATGGAGAAGATGGAATTTCCACTCAACAGGTCACAACAGATAACATCGCATTGCTGAGTGGAGACAAGTCTGGACCATACCTTTGTACTGGATATGACCTGTATATTACACACGAACCCTGCATTATGTGTGCCATGGCTTTAGTACATTCCAGGATTAATAGGGTATTCTATGGAATAATGTGCCCTAATGGTGCACTAGGTAGCAGGTACAAGATACACACACAGTCTGGACTGAATCACCATTTTGAAGTTTTTAAAGGAATTTTGGAATTGGATTGCAATCAGCTGTTGAAAACTTGATTTTAGTAAATATCTATATACTGAATTTAACCCTTAAGGTTAGAGATTGACCATTTTAAATCATTAAGATTAAAACAAATGCAATCTTAGATACCGAGAGAAAAAAATTGCAAGCAAGATGCAAGATGTTACAGGAAAAACTGTTGGCATTTTGAAGAAAGATTAAGATCTAGAGACAACCCCCCCCCCCCCCCCGTGAAAAATTGTACTAGTAATAATCTCCCAGTCACCTCCTATGATTTCAAATAGCCTATCTCTTAATCAGTGACCAATCCTGTGAAAATTAAAACATATATAGAATTTTATTATACAAGAAATAAAGTAATGCATATTTAAATAAGTTTAATAAATGAGGTATTTCTAAACAAAAATCAAATGATTGAGTATGTAAATGACCTTTTGTTCACTTTTGTGAAAATATTTTTTTCAATTCAATTGTAGTTTTATGACAGAGATTCTTATACTTGTTATTGTATTTTTTAAAGAAAAAACATTGTTAGGAAGCATGCAAACAGACATGCCGAGCTGCCAACCATGTCAACCATCATTGCCGATTACAGATATTTTGTTCTGATGTGACACATACAGTGACTTCAAGGAGCAGTACTACTCAAAATATTGTGACCACACTTTATGTATCTGTGTAATTGATTTGAACCACTTTGCTTTATTTCATAGTAAAATAATAATATATAAACTGAATATTGTTTGATGATAATTGGGCAAAGTGATCAGGGAAATGAGCTATCTAACAATCCATGTACATGATGTATTATTAGAACAATAAAATTATGAAATATATTGTTTTTACTCTTGATAACTTTTTTTTGTGCTGTCGAACATTTGGTGAGGGCTTTATTCATAAAAGTGACAGATATCAAATATATTTGTTACTACAAACAGCAAACAAACTGTTTCTTGAATAAGTGGTTGATTGTTCACCACAAACAGCAAACAAACAAACATTTTTTTGATTGGCTGGATGTTTGAGTCACCACAACCAACCAGCAAACAACATACTATTTCCTCAATGTAAAAGTACTGTCGGTGCCATATTGATTAGTTTTCTCTTAGTTTCTATAGCATTATTTTTTTTATATACAAACTTTAAACCTAAATTATTAAGTAAAATTAGCATGTGCTACATAAAGCAACCTTTATATAACAATGGTGTTCTTAAAACAAGATACAATTTTGAAGTGTAGAAAGATTATATGTTATTTTCTGTGAGACATTTGGTTTCTAGGTCACTTACTTTTGTTGCACACCAAAGTTATAATAATTTGAATATAAATGACAACTTACCAAATGTATTTCAAATTGTAACATAATAAAATATTTGTGCACAATACATGTAGTTAAAATTACTAGTAATTAACAAATTAACATTTTTTATTTTTATATGTGCTGCTAGTTAAAAGACAATAGAATTCCCGCATAGAAATATTATGTAATCTAATCTGGTATAGTGAAATCGGACATTTACTGGAGAAATGAAATAACATCACATTATAAGGCCCTTTAGCTGCTCCTGTAATTGCAATATGATAATTATTGTAACATGCTGTATATAACCGTAGAACATATTCAAACATTCATTAGTTACTACGTAGATTCATAGAATATTATTGCTATATTTTGATGATGGGAAAATACTAATACAATGCAATGTTTTTTTATTCGATTGACATTGGAAACAGAATTGTATTCACACATTCAACAAGTTAGGGGGTTACAGAAAAGCCGGTCCTTTCCTCGCTGACTGCACGTCGAACGCCACGCTGCCATTTAACAACTCTACAAAAACGTCCATAAAACATGGGTTTTGGTGATCTAAAAAGTCAGGCTGGTCAGAAAGCTTTGAATGACTTCTTAGCCGACCGTAGTTACATTGATGGGTGAGTGTTGCAGTGTTGCGGAGAAATTTGAGAAAAAATAGTCGATGGTATAGCCCGACGGGGCACTGCCTGCTTGCCTGCCTGCCTGCCTGCCTGCCTGCCTGCCAGCCAGCCAGCTGGCTGGCCGTTTCACATCATGTCAGTTTATCTCTTAGTTGTACTCGATACAAATGACTGTCAAACTGTTTCATATCATATATGTTTTTAGCTACATGCTTATACATAGTGGTTATTTTGTAGAATGTATTACAAATGTCTGGATACTGGAGAATAAAGTTTATTTGGTAGTCAGAAACATTGTAGACAAACTTCTCGTGATTTCGCAAACAGTTATGCTTACTGTACCAGCCCAAGAAAGTTGAGTGATAGTAGAAACATGGAGCTATGGTAGAAAGATGGGCGTATAAAATATTAGCCATCAAACGACAGTAAAATAGCTTTCAAAATAGACTGAAATCAACTCAAATTTTTCTTCAAAATATCATTAGAGTGGAGAAAATTTATTACTGTTTGACAGGTTTACTTGCAGTCTAGCATGTTTGGTCTAAAATTATCCACAATGGTACAGTTGTACATCAACTTGAATTTTGGTGGTGAAATATTGAACTAAAATAAGATCATTGCGTTTTATTATAGATATTCTGCATCTCAGGCTGACGTTGTTGTATACCAGGCTCTGTCTGGTGCACCTTCAGCAGATTTGTTCCATGCGTTGCGTTGGTATAATCAAATAAAATCATATGCCAGCCAGTTTGATAGGTAAGTCTGTTTTTGTTTTTGTTTTTGAAGGGAGAATGTATATTGACATGCTCTAAGATATTTTAATCAGATTAGCAGTGCTGCTTCACGCTGTATGAGGAGACATTTATACTAAAATCTTATGTTAAATCAACCATTGAACTGAAAATGAAACTATCAAATTCCGCAAATTGACAAGTTTAAAGGTTTTTCATAGAGATTAAATGTCACAAAAGTCAATGCAACTCTGACTAAAGAATCACAGTGAATATGTCATACCAACATTTTCTGGAATTTCATTGATTCATAAATTGTTTGCAAATTTATGTTCTGAGTCTGTCTTGAATTTTACATACGTGTATGTCACAAGGGACCCTTATCATACACTTCGCGATTATGTATCTCTGAATTATTACAAATGCATCATATTTATGATATAGTGAACCAAACCAAGATTTTGTTAATTAGTCTTCCAGGTGTCAAGAAACCTGTTAGTGAGTATGGTCCTGCAGGTGTAGCAGCGGCTGCTGCTCCTGCGGCGGCAGCAGACGACGACGATGATGACGATGACGATGATGATGTAGATCTCTTTGGATCAGATGATGAGGTAATTGCACGTGACCTGCACAAATAATCTTAAAAAAGTTATGGAAACGTCAATTATCATAAATAATTATTCAATCTACCATCCAGTTTTGTTACTGGTAGTACCTAATTTCCATTCATACATTTGACAGTAATGTTCATTAAGTTACACTCTGTTTTAACTAATCTCTATTTTCTCAATACAGGAAGAAGCAGAAAAGTTAAAAGCTGAAAGAATTAAAAAATATAATGAAAAAAAAGCAAAAAGTAGGTATTTGTCAAGGGTATGTATGGAGTCTGAGGAACAGAGATGAGGTCCCATTATATTGCTTAACTTTTCAAAACTGGGATTTTCTCGTGCTACTGTCAGTAGCATTGATTTGTGTTCTCGTTATCACTTCATAATTATGCATTTTTTTGATTTGGATGAATAAATCTGTAATAAAAAACTAGAATATTTATAACTATTGTGGCATTGAAATAAGTTTTGTACAGATAATTTCTTTATTCAGGTAAAATTTCCTTGTAATTCATAAAAAAAAAAAAAGTTGGGGTTTAACATTTTATTATCATCTGTATTTAATTTGTTTCATTTTATGGTTACCTCAGTTATATTTTTAGATTAAAATGTTTACAGTGTAGTTTTTTTGAGTGTTTTTCGCACATATTTTTTTTAAAATTTAGCCTTAGTACCGGGGTAATATCTAACATAATTGACAATTTTTTTTCAGAACCAACTTTGATTGCGAAATCAATGATTATTTTAGATGTGAAGCCATGGGGAGATGATACAGACATGAAAGCCATGGAGGAAAAAGTTAGGACAATTACATCTGATGGTTTAGTTTGGGGAGCATGTAAGTGGATTTACTTGAGCATTCCTTAGAAATTGAACAGTTTTATTTACAGTGTGTATATCTTTGTATAGTATTCCAAGATACTCACCATTTCAATAGTATTGTGAATATGAGTGTGATTGGATATACGGTAAAGAAAATAAAGTACCGTATCATGTGTTACTGTAAACTACTTTGATATAGCTACATGTCATATCAGCCAATTTAACCATAATGATATAACCCAATTAATGAATGAATTAATTAATTAATAGAATCTTAATTAAGCCAACAATCGCATTGTAAAAATATACTTTCTTTTAAATTAGAGAAATTATAGTTTAGCTGATATGCTAGCTTAAAACGCGTTTTACAGTATTCAATTCACCATTACCTTTCACCTTTAGCCCTTAACCTTTCACCACTCACCACAAAACAGACAAAATTTGAGGCTATTTTCATTTTTTTTTAATTGTGTGCAATATTTGGCTGTGTTTGTCCCAATCATCTGAAGAAAAGTGCAGACTATAAACAGGACTATTTTGTGAATTTGTGATGAAAAGAGGGAACTGGTGGTGAAAAGGTTAAGCCTTTGAACACTAAAGTCAACTTTGTCAATAGAGCCGCATAATTGTTTTCAGATCTTTTTCATCAAGTGTGATCAAAACAATGGAGAACTGTCAGTTTGATCCAAAAGTAAAAAAAAAAATACAGGGATTAATCTACCAAACAAGATTTCCATCTAATTTGTCAGTGTTGTGGCTACAACACTGTGTGCGTTGGCTTTGGTTATGAAACAAGTGTGGTATTTCATTATTTGTCAGTGTTGTGGCTACTACACTGTGTGTGTTGGCTTTGATCATGAAACAAGTGTGGTATTTCATTATTTGTCAGTGTTGTGGCTACTACACTGTGTGTATTGGCTTTGATTATGAAACAAGTGTGGTATTTCATTATTTGTTCAGTCTTTTGTATAATAAATATTTGATATTTATTCACAGCAAAACTTGTACCAGTTGGCTATGGTATTAAAAAGCTACAGATTTCATGTGTTGTAGAGGATGACAAAGTAAGTACCGGGGTTATATACAGAGATTACTGAATTTGATTTATTAGAAACGTCTACAATTTACACAGCATCACTAAGTTGGAGAGTTTTATGTAAAATCCCACCCACACAAAAATGTTTGGCTCACATGCAATTTCTATTTAAAGATGTGCTTCTAGTAGAGAAAATACAGTACTGTAAAATCTATATTAGAAACCACGGCTTATATTAAAATGGTACAATGCAACAGAGGGGATGCAGCTTCTATTAGAGCATCTACACAAATGAGAAATGATGAATTTTTTGTTCTCAATTATTCAAAAAGAATTTGGTGTGAATTCCATTAGGGATGCGTATTCTAATGCGGATTTTACGGTACATGCAACCTACATTGGGAACATGCTTCTAGTAGAGCAAATATGAAGATGGAAATAATATTCAATTAAAACACGATTTGACTTAGACATGTTTTCTACATTATTAATGGCACTAATTCTCAAAAGGCCAAGTTAATGTTACAATTTGACAGTTCTTGGCTCCAGCGTATACCAAGCAAAACCTTGCATGTGTGGGTAATCTAGTTCCACTGATATATCTACAACCAATGAATGGATAAGAATACAAATTTGTACATGTATACTGTTTGTGCAGATGAATCTCTGATGAATTTCAAATGATCCGTTCATTGTAATCAGTAAATTTGCAAACTAACTATTTTGACAATATTTAATGTATGCATATTTTTTGTGTAGGTGATATTCTTAATATTCTTCACTGAAGGATGAAGGAAATAGAATAAAATCCAAGGAATATTCCTTTGTTTCTATATTTTACATTCAACTAGTCTAAATTCAGTAAAAATAAATACCAAACAAAACATCTAAAAGACTCATTAAAAATTAATTCCAGCTAAAATAAAGTATTTGTTAGGTTACCATATTTGCTTTTAAAAGGGCATATCCAAAGTACACATGCACAAACTATGCATAATTAAAACCGTTTATCTTTCACGGTGTTTTTTCAGGTTGGAACAGAATTCTTAGAAGATAATATTACGGCGTTTGAAGATTATGTGCAGTCAGTTGATATAGCAGCATTCAACAAACTTTAAATGGCTTCTATAACATAAATATGTATGGATAAACTGTGAATGTGATGGAGAGAGAAATAAAATTGACGGTTGTTTGAAAATGTGTAGTGTAATGTTTATAAGTAATTAAATGTACTCCATTTAGTAATATTTCTGTGTTCTTGGCTTAGCAGTTTAACAAACATTCACAAAATTACAGACCAATATTTTTATCTTCAGACATGCACTCGATGGTGATTATGGTATTTGTAGTTGTTTTATGAAAAACATACTCCAAATTCACCATGCACTTTGATATACATCAGTAATTCAAAAACTGGAGCAATTTTTTTTTTACCTCCGCTGTCATAGTGAAGCTGTTCATATTTTTAGGCGGAGCTCCGTCACAGAACATTCCATGAACATTCTTAGCAAGGGACGTACTACTGTACCATGCATTTCTATGGGCTCTGTGCAAACTGGTGAAACAGCACCAACTCAACATTGAAGCAATTGTGCACAACAAAATTTATACATGGTGCACATGGAAGGGGTAATCTTGTTACACTGTTCAGGAGAGTCTCTGTACCCAAGTTTCCAACTGTTTTCACTGGCTGTGATTACCAGGCAGTGAAAATGCCTGGATGTCCACCAAGTATTGGCTGTTGTCATCAGTCAGTCAGTCCATCTGTCAGCAATTGCAGTTTTGACTTTTTGAAATGTACTTGCCCGATTGCTTTGATATTTTATATGTTGGTACCTTAAGCCATAGACCTTAAAGGTCTATGCTTAAGCAGACCTCTATCATATTTGTTCATTTCTTGGTATCATTCCTTCTCTTTTTTTTTTTAGCAAATAGTTTTGTCATTTTTGGTAAAAAAATATTTCTGACTACTTGAAAACTATTATCTTGATTGGTTTGTTATGCATGTGCACAACGACCAGAACAAAATACCTTTTTGTGGGTTAATTGTGTTTTTCACTTGGCTATCACAATGTGCTCCGGTTGCTTGTATAGTAATTTTATGGTGATTCTATGACCTTGTGTGTGAATCCATGTCATATTGGACCAGAATGCTAAATATTGTGCAAATCTTATCCACATTGCCACTTTACATCAAACTGCTTGGCTCAATGAGTATTCATGTTCTGTGACATGATACAAGTGTGTTGTGCTGCTTGACTCTCGATGAAATGGAACATGTTGCTCACTATGAAGTATGGATAAATCGGGTGTGATATCTACTGGTCATTGATCCAGTTGCGTAATGCACAATACACAGTGGGCCTGCAAAAAAGGGCTACAACTCTCCATGTTCTCAGTACAACTTCATTAGTGTTGTGTTGCTTGACTTGTGAGTTCTCCTACTTGGCTGCCAATGTTAACTGTTTTGATGCACAGAAACAGCTTGATAAATAACAACTAGCGGTCTCTAATTTTCAGGTAATCACTTGAGATTGTAAACAGTTGTGATCTGCATGTTGTAAACGCCACGGTTGTGATCTACATGTGATAAACACCACAGTTGTGATTTAAATGTTGTAAACACCACAGTTGTGATCTGCATGTTGTAAACACTACAGTTGTGATCTCCATGTTGTAAACATCACAGTTGTGATCTGCATATTGTAAACACCACAGTTGTGATCAGCATATTGTAAACTCCACAGTTGTGATCTACATGTTGTAAACACTACAGTTGTGATCTCCATGTTGTAAACATCACAGTTGTGATCTACACGTTGTAAACGCCACAGTTGTGATCAGCATATTGTAAACTCCACAGTTGTGATCTGCATGTTGTAAGCACCACAGTTGTGATCTGCATGTTGTAAACACCACAGTTGTGATCTGCATGTTGTAACGCCACAGTTGTGATCTGCATATTGTAAACTCCACAGTTGTGATCTGCATATTGTAAACTCCACAGTTGTGATCTGCATGTTGTAAACGCCACAGTTGTGATCTGCATATTGTAAACACCACAGTTGTGATCTGCATGTTGTAAACACCACAGTTGTGATCTGCATGTTGTAACGCCACAGTTGTGATCTGCATATTGTAAACTCCACAGTTGTGATCTGCATATTGTAAACTCCACAGTTGTGATCTGCATGTTGTAAACGCCACAGTTGTGATCTACACGTTGTAAACGCCACAGTTGTGATCTGCATGTTGTAAACGCCACAGTTGTGATCAGCATATTGTAAACTCCACAGTTGTGATCTGCATGTTGTAAGCACCACAGTTGTGATCTTGCATGTTGTAAACACCACAGTTGTGATCTGCAT